AAAAAAAAAAAAAAAAAATTTTTTTGTAGTATGAAAGGAGAGACGTTTAACACTCCTGTAAATAAGGGTGGAACACATATATAAATGGTAAAGCACTGTCGCCTTTCGGCGGCACTTAGCAAATCTTTTTGGAAGGACCGCGGAGGGCTTCCGCTATCCTTCCGGAAAACGCAGGTGCTAATAATTTTTCCTTTTGAGCATTGGATTTCGAACAATATATTAGATGCGAATCTAGATGTTTGATTCATTGACATCATGTAATCAAAAACGAAATAGATAAAAAAATTTGATATACAACAGAATTACTGAGTAAACTTACACTATTAATTACCAAATTCCAGACTTGAACAATATAATCATAGGTAAAACTTGGATACATACTGATGGTTAGAAAGTGGCGCCTACCGACATTCTGCATCAACTTCAGTAAACATATTTCTTTGAATGATGAAATTAAAAATGTTATACGAGTAGCGATAATACCATAAACAGTTTAAAATGTAATTAGACATAGTGTTACAAGCTTGTAAAAACTTTCTATTTGTAAATTGATTCGTTAATTATTTTGTTTTATTTTATTTATATTATCATATGTTACTTTATTTCTTTTTATTATATTTCATGTCTTTTATTTCATTTATTTATTTTATTTCATCAACCTAATTTTCGTATGCCCTAAGAAAGCATAAAACAGTCAATGCTGTTATTGTCATTAAATATAAGAAACTATAATTTGTGAGTACACTAATTTTAAAGATTGGATTCGTTACTTACTTTAAAAACAATTTTTTTGTATTCGTTAAGTATATATAAAAGCATGCCTCAAAATTCAATAACTTTATTTCTTTCTTTGCATTGTAAAAAAAAATCACAAAAAGACGCTGTTTTAGAACGTTGTAATTCAAGACACCCCTTAAGGTCCAAGGGCTGTCTTCGACGAAGTACCCTAATACCAATGTGACCTAGACGCATTCTCGATGTATCGTTCGATTACCTTGAAATCAGTTGTTTGAAGTTCAATAGTATGGGAACTGTTTGCATCTTGTTCAGTGCGGT